GTGCGACTACGTGCCTGCAGCAGCGTCGAAGATGTGCAATCCTGCTGCTGATCGTTGGAAATGGCCGATGACTGCCTAATGCTACGTAGGGATAGCATCAACGTCTGTAAGAACGATCTACGAAAGCTAAGTAAAAAGTAAAAGAAAATTCTTAACTTTTGGTAGTCTTGCTGAAGGTAGAAATTTTATTTTTGCGTAGTCACGATCCTCCACTTTCCTTCAGTTAATGCGTGGGGCAGTTTTGAATGCAACTGCCAGATAGCGTCATTCAGCTTGCTTTTCACTTCCACTTTCCAAGAGTTTGGGTAGACCAGTATGACTTGTATCATCTAGCAATACAACTGTTTTTATCCGTTCAACCCAACAAGTGTTTGAGTACTGTTCTACTATAGCCGCTCTTACAGCCGACCGCTATGCGTGGATGCTAATAGCTTTACGAGAGCCTACTTAGATATATATTTTCGCAAGGATGACTTGTATGGCCGTCTATATGCTGCTCCTTTTTCTTGCAGTCATCCGCCAATGGAATTCTTGACCGATGTATACTGTGCATTTCCAATACTGTGAGATGCCTAGATAATCACCTGTTAATAGTCAGCCCAATCTGATGGATAACTGTGATAACTGTTGGGATACTAATCCCTTGATTTCAATAGAATGTTTTAACATAGGCTTATAGGATTAAAGTTGCTTAGTAACGTTATATAACTATGCTTACATAACTACTATATGCATTTTAGTAGGCGTAGTTATGTTTGTTACTGCACAGAATCCGTTATCCGCTTTCACTATTTATTTCAACATTGCACCCCTTCCCTGATGTGACCCATTCGTATAATTTCTGTTACTACCGGTCCCTTAATACAGAATCTGAGGCAAGGGATATCTAAGGTTGGCGATCATCTTTAATTTTGCCCATTAACTTTGGCTCAGATGGGCATTTCATAGTACAAATGCAGTGAATGTGCTGGCCGCTGTTATTTCGTAAATGCCGCGTATTTTTAAAATTTGTATTTCGTTATTGATTTTACGCATTCTGCATACTAAAAGGGTC